AGTGAGCGTGTTTCAGAGATGGCGTCCGTCTGTACGGCTGTCAAACCTGAGATAAGGAGAATTAGGACACAGTCAGGGCTTTGGGTGAGTATTGTATGGGGGTTCAGGTACGATATGATGTCATCATGATATCATTATATATGGATATAAAAGCAGGTCAATGTTCAATGTTCATCAGCAGATAATAATCATGGAGTTGTTTTGGTTTCCATGTTGTTTGGGGGTTTGTCAGTAAACGTCTTCCAGCGTCGCCAGGGGCGGATTTAGGACATGTGGGGCCCTGGGCAAAAACAGGCAGGGGCCCCTCTGAATGGAGAAGACATCAAACAGCCCCATCTACAGATAGAGAAATGTTAATAGAATAGACATCCATTATCTGTTCTAGGTTGTGTCCCTCTCTTCTTGTTTTCCTCTCTATGTTTTTTACTCTGCAGTGTTAATTTCATCAGCTTAGTCACAATGGTAAAAATCAATGTTAGTCATATTTAGCCATTTTAATCAACACTGTAAATAATAGAACTTCTCCACACACTGCTTCTCTTTTTCTCTATTTTATTTATCTAACACTGTGCAGAATAGAACTTCACACACTGATTCTTTTTAACATATATCCTCTGCACACATTGAACCTTCTGTCGGCAAAGTCCACAAAGTCTTCATCCTCCATGGTCCTTGCAGGCAGATCAGAACGCCCAATCCACTCTGCCATTGAGTTCTCCAGGGCTTTCTGCTCTTTGGCGTCAGGTTTGTACGGTGGGGGGGCTCCCAACATCTCTGGAACAGACTCTCCTTCCTTCCCCAACCTCTGACCTGACTGTGGCAACAGTCATTATCATGCAGGTTGTTTCGTTGTCCTTCATGTTGTAAACAAAATGGCTCCATATATCTGGGTGTACGTCGCCATAGATCCACTGAGCGATTTGCCCACCGCCACCTTACGGCGGCCGACTGAATTTCAAACATGTTTGGCTCCATGGAGCCTTTGACTCTTTCTGCTTCTCCTCCCAGATCTTCCATTATGACCACCCCTCCGCCACCGTTCTCCATCAGGACTTCAGCGACCGCCTCAGCTGGCTGGGAACGTTGGACGAAGACGTCCAGATCGGTGCCGTTTACATCCAGAATGTCACCTTCAACGACAGCGGGACCTACCGCTGCACCTTCCACCGCACCCTCCTCCTGGCCCTGCAGCCTGAGCACGTGGTGGTGGAGAAGGAGGTGGAACTCACGGTGGTGGCTGTAGGTGAGCAGATGATGGTGAGCGCCGCTCCGTCCAGGCGGCTCCTTTTGACTGACGCCATGCTGGTCGGTGTCTTGCAGCCAATCGAGAGCTGACAGCTATAATCTCAGAGATTGTGATGTACGTGCTGATCGTGGTTCTGCAGCTGTGGCTCATCATCGTCATGGTCTACTGCTACAAGAAGATCTGGAACGAACACGAAGCTCGAGAAGAGAGGAAAGCTGTCAGAGCAGAGGAGCTGTGAGTCTAAGATGGCCGCCTCTCTTTCTGCTGCCGCTCAGATCATCATCATCTACTTTCTTCTTCTGTTCTCAGTCTGTTGCAGTCAAAGGAGGACTTCTGTGACGGGGTCATGGCAGATTAGCTGGACTCCACGAGGTCTGGTTAGAGGCCCGCCTCAAGAGGAACTATCATTTCCTGAGAGACGGGCTTTTAGAATCCGTCATTAAGGAAGATCATCTCTGAAGAACGAAGGTTCTGTCCTGTTCAGTCGGAACCAAAACGTAAAGCGAGTCAAAGGCTTCCATTATAAATATGCTGCATAAGCAGTTTATCCTTTAAAGGAAAAGTCGCTCAGATTCAGAAT